ATATTATAGTAGATGTTTTACCAGTGCACGGATGTTTTTGGAGGTTCTTAAAAACATGAAATATATTTTTAGCTTTAGGCAGCCTTTGACGTCACACCTCAGGAGTCACTATTGAAGGGTCTGTGTGCATTCTGACATCAGTCAATCAGTGTCGTCATGATGTCAATTTGGCCCCAGAATAATTAGTCACATGACATTTTATGGCTCAGGTGATTGGCTCAAAAAAATGAGCATGAGCAAAGATGCACGGTTGTGTATTTTCATAGGCATTGAGCCGAGGTGAATAGGAATGTTCTATCTTTTTCCAGGTATTACAGACCGACTTGTTTAGAATTCTTTATAAAATAAATCCTTTTGACTGATATTAATTCAGTCTGTCATGCAGTGCAATATTATATGAAATCCAATTATATTTTTCTCTTCTACTCTGGATCCCTCTAGTCTTGATTTCCTAATACAAAGAGTGACAATATATGTGATCAACATAAATCTGTGTGTGTGTGTGTGCGCTTCTATCTATCTGAGAGCCCTTTGTGCCCCTGCTGCTAGATTTGGGTTAAGTGAAAATCACCCACCACTCGTCACAGAATCTATCCCACCCTCCCGGTTAATATGGCTTTAATTCCATTTCCATTTTCATAGAGTCATTTTGCCCCTCTTTTATAGAAGGTCATAAAATATATAGTGAATTTTTTTAAGCATTCTGCATAACATTTACATTTTCTATTGTATAGATGTGATCAGGGGAAGAAGACTGAATAAAACATTAATGTCAGAGGCCATTTCTTCAGTGACATTTGAAGCTGTATCTATCATCGCTCTCTCTCTCTCTCGCTAGTGCAGGCAGGGGGACAAATGATGGTGCAGTGTTTAACGGCGGCCTCCGCGAATAAAATTCCTACTCTGCCTTCACATTATTGCCCGCTGGCTAGTCGATGAAAACACATTTTCCAGAGATAAGAGAAAAGTCAAATAGAAATGTCGCTTCGTTGTGTGTGGTTTGTGTGTATTAGTGTGTGTGGGTTTCTGAAAATTGAAACATGTCAGTGAAAAATCCACATTTCAAAGATTCACCTTCTTGCTTGCAACACATAACAGTAATGCACAGCAGATACAGTCCAATGCCGTCATTTCACCAAGCAAGGATTTCAGTGGTAAAAATTTACACTTTTCAATTAGCCCATTCATGATTTTTACGGCTTAGTATAAGTCACCACGTTTATGATCCATATTTTGCATAAGGCATTCAGATAAAATAATAAAATAATAAAGCATAAAATCAATTCCTTGACATGCTAATTTCAACAAATGGTTAATTATAAGGTTTATACATTTACAAAACACTATAGAACACCTAAAAAGTAAAGTATCGTGAATTACATTTTTCAAAATAATCCCATATATACAGTTGCTAAATAAAAGTCACATAAAAATTGGCTACTGAATTTAATTTTGAACAGATTTTTAAGATATTTTGATGGTTCCTTTCTTTTTAAATAACTCTTTAATTAAAATAATCTAATTTCAAGCTAGGATACGTCATATGTACAGTATACTGTATGAATGCATTATCCATAAATACATACTCACATAACACTTGTGTTTATTTGGTTATCAGTTTTTGAAACAGCACAATTGCACATAAAATTACAATTTAAAACAAAATTATGCCTGCTTCTTTACAGCTGTTTATGAGAAATGCTATATGCAACTGCTCTTTAGAGCTCTACACTAATTTGGCTCTCTCTTACACACACACACACACACACATCTATACACACTACGTGGTTCAGATGAGTTTTAGTAGGTAAAGTTGCTTTTTATTGGTATATTTGTTATATATTATACTTACTGCGTTCTTATTTTCACACGCAGTAAGTCTGAACTGAACCTATCACTCACATACATTTTGACACATTAAGTCATAAAGCATTTCTTATAATGGCATTTTACAAAATTAAATCAGCAATGATTGTATTCAACAACAAGAGCGTTTGATTCTTTGTTAATAATTTTGTTGTAGATCTTCTGTCTCATTTTACCATGAAACACAGTAGCTGGGATTTCTGATATCATAGTAGCTCTTGTTTTTGTATGTGTGTGTGTGTGTGTGGGGGGGGGGGTCACATATTATAACATACAATGATAGAAAATACCTGACTTATCACACAAAGACCAGTGTGCAAAATTTGGCTGTGTAATTCACCAAAAAGTGGCCCATTTTACCTGACCTTACCCTATGAAATGAACGCAGACCCTTTTCACTCAGTCCTACATGGAAAAACTTTGCAAACATCACAAAGACCCAGTGCTCTTATGCACACAGTGTGAAGTAAATAATGGTGTCTCCTTTAAAATGTAACCTAAAAAATGCACTTCCTCAAGGTACTTTAGGTCCTCTTAGGTTTGATTAAATCAATGCTATAAAATGTAACCTCCAAAACAAAAGACACTGCAGAAAGACGCGAAAATAAGCAGCAGAAGAGGGTCTGTCCTCTCCACGTGTGAACGCAGATCATGGCAGACTCTTCTGAGGGAGGGGAGGAGTAACCCCCCACACACACGCACGCACGCACGCACTCTCGCTCCGCCATGCTAGTACGGAGGCTATGCACTCGTCGCTGCTCTCTGACCCCAGTGGCAGTCCTTTCTTCCTCTGCCGCGGTCTAGACTCGCTCCCCCTCTCCGCCAGTCAGAGCGAGGCTCGCCGCCTGCCTGCGCCGCTTCTCCCGCGTCTCGCCGCAGGGTCTCCCAGGGTCGAGGGTCCTGCCCCTGCCCGGCTCCGAGTGCCACCTCTTCGGCTACCGACATCTGCATTCCCCGGCGTGTATGGAGCAACATCTTTAGAGGTGGGCGAGAGAGAAAGAGGGTCTTTCAACCTCTTCTGGTGTGTTATGCAGCCTGGAAATGTACGCTTAGACAGGGAGCGAGAAAAAAAAAAAAAGACACAAAAGGGTTAGAGGTGGCTTGTCATTGAACGGCGGTGTCAGCGCAGCTACTCACCCGGGGAACGATCACCCTTCGCGGCGGGCGCGTTGGACACATTTACCCGCGACTTTGCGTGTTTTTAACTCGAAATGTCGGTGATATTGTAGTCGGGGTTGATGTAGGTTCAAGTTGATCTCTTTTGCTCTCTCTCTGAAGAGTGCAGTCCGCACTTTAAACATGATTTGCAGCATTTATTTGGATCGTTCCCTCGCATTGTTCAGCCGGAAGCTGTAGAGTTGAGCGCAAATAAATATCACGCGGTTATATATTAAACGCAACGGCAGATTTTTACGCAGCTAAGCTAGTGGTTGCTAGCTAGCAGAGGTGAGGAAAGCGATTTTTTTTGCATGAGGATGAATATTGTTTTATGCAAAAAATTTGTTGATTTACGTTAAACAAACTAGTATATTACGTTTAGAGTTATTTGTATTTGACTGAAAAAGTTTGACGTAAGATCAAAGATAACTTAATGACAGATACGTGACAGGAAAATACTGTATTTCGTTTTTAAAAACTGTAGTAAGTTTACAGCACATCAGCATAATGTCGTGTATATGATAGTACATTTATATTAAATTAAAATGTACTAAGAAATAATATTTCTGTCACTTGTACAGTGCTGTGGATGCAAGTACAGTAAGCATAAATAACACTTGCAGTTGAGTGGGGTGGGGGGGGAATATTAGCACTTTTGCAAAATTGCGTAATAATGGTATGAAGTAAAGCTACAGACATGTTGAACAGGGGAGAGGGAAAACGACTCATAAATTAGAAAGTACTACTACTACTAATAATAGTTATAGTTATATTATTAATAGTTAATAATAATAATAATAATTCATCAATAAAAAACATCCAATTGGTTGACAGGATACTACTGACTAATGCTTGCATGTCTAACACTACAGAACAAGAATTCAGAATTAATTTGCATCACATTTTCAATGCCTTTAGTCTTGTACATATTAAACCTGTTGTGTTTAGTTGAATAATGTGATTTTTACACACTGCTGCAGTAGATAACATGGAGAGAGCAGTCACACTTTACTCATTTTTTTAAGGATGTACGATGATGGGTTGCCTCATTAAATGATGTCTAGCTAAATCTAGTGCGGTAAACGTACTTTGTGGCAGATGTTCCTGTGCAAAATCAGTTATTATTGCTGCATGCATTTAAACAGTAAATAGTGGTCAATGTGATTGTTTTCCCATATAAGTATTATTTTGTTTTATTACTTGTATTATTTTTATATATCTTTCAAAGAATAAAGTGTAAACTGACAGCAACATGCTATACAGTTTCTACAGTAAATATGTTATAACATCTTTTAAAGTAAGTAAAGTAAGTGAGTGAAAGTTGTTTTGAGAGGGTTAGATGAAGTAGTTAAGGGTTAGGACATTAGGCCTTTTGTATTATGTTTTGTTTTCAACACTCTTGCTTAGATTTTGTTGTCAGCTTGATTAAGGTTTGGATCATGGTATATTGTTCCGTCATTGATCTGTCATTAGAGTTTTGGTTAAATTTGCAACTGGAGTTTGTGTTGTTGAGTTTGGAGGAGATTCTGAACAACTTTATTAGTGATCAGCATGAAAGTTGTTTTTATCATACATTTAAAGTGGAAATGAAATGAAAATGATTATAAATGATAATTATTAGATGTTTGCCAGAAAAACTTTTAATATTTAAGCAGATGTATTCTAGAAAATAAAATTGATATTAAATGTAACCTAAGTTTGAGTTTAACGTAGTAACATCTAAATTAACGTTTTCTTTCTCTACAAGTCAAAAATATACTTTAATATGACTAAATACACCAAAAAAAAAAAAATTGTATTTTTTAGGTAGAAATGTAATGATCGTCCATTTTCACTTTATTTGCGGTCAATTACTCTTTACATTCATATAAAGAATATAACACTTCAGTAAGGTAATAAACTTTCTACAAAGCAAATATTGTACATAATTTAAATTTTTTTGCAATACAACTTCAGTTATTTAGCCATTTCCATGTTTTACCATCTATTTTTTTATTATTATTATTATTATTCTGTATTACAGTCATTTTATGCAATTGATTTCACATCATAATCTTTATTCTGTCACTCTTTCTTCACAGATAGTATCTCGTCCTTCATCTCGGCATTGTCAAGGGTTCTTTTCGGCGTTTAAGTGGTGGTTCTGAAGGATGCTGACTGTGTGGGTCGCTCCAGGGTCCTGGTGAAGTGTCTCATGTGTCACGTGGAGAAAGAATGGCCCACGGAATGCCGTCACAAGGCAAAGTGACCATCTCGGTGGACGAGTACAGCTCCAACCCCACGCAGGCCTTCACCCACTACAACATTAACCAGAGCCGCTTTCAACCGCCACACGTGCATATGTGAGTAACAAGGGACAATGCACAGAAATACAGTTCAGTTTGCTTTTTTATGCGTTCCGTTTATGGTTGTGAGTCAATTTAGTTTTTAGCTGTTCTGTTTTGTGCTCACTTTGAAATTAAGAAATGCATCAATTCATACGTTTTTTTCTTGGTCTGTCAGGCTCGTAGTATCACAGAGCCTTATATGTCTAACATGGTGTTTGTTCCTAAATAAGCAAACTTTGTAATAGGTTTGGACTGCATCAGACACAAGATACCTTTAATAGCATAATGGTCTATGCGGGTCAGACAGAAATAGATAGTTACTATTACGATTTTAGCTGTGGCACAATATTACATATTTCAGGTGAAACGTACACTGAGCTCTTTGTCAAATACATTTTCATGGTCTGCATTATGTGCAATTTAAAACCGGATTGTTCATTCGATCACTCTACGTGTAGTGGTTTGTGGTTTGGAGGAAAAAGTCTTTGCAGCAGACATGCTGTTTGAGCATTATTCATTTTTGGGTAAAGTCTTCCAGACTGTTGAATATGATGATAAACTTACTACTGTAGCAGGCTGGTGTTATTACAAAAGCTTTTACATCATTCCAATTCTTATTGGCCGTTTTATAGGCTGATAATTTTGCACAAAAGTATAAACTGAGCCGTTTTAACACAGCGCGGGTTTTTTTGAGCTGTAATATGAGGAAGATTAAAAAGGCTGCATCATTATTTAAAGCCATTGGTGTTTGCATCACCCGCGGTTTAACGTCGCGAGGCCCGTGATTCCTCTCTAGCTGCAGCCCTGCTTCATCCACTACTTTCTCCTTAATCACCTCTTTGCTTATAGAGCTGTGTGTTCTGGGAAAGCAAAGGCTTGTTTAGATTGGGGAGATAATGATTGTGTTTACCAGAGGCTAGCGTTCCTGGACATAAACACACACAACTGCACATTCGCTTGAAGAAACGGGGGACCTTTAGAAAAGGCCTTTTTCCATCATGTTTTTAGTTTCTTGTCAGCATGCACTGTGATTTTGCTTTACTTTAAAGCTGCATTTGCCTGATATGGTCCTTTAAGTCAGTTTATTTTATTTTATTTAAATAAAATAAACATAAAAAATCTGTGAAATTTATGAAGAAAGAAAAAAGAAACCGCAGCTGTGGTTGCCTGAACTTTACTGTAAAAATAAATATGGTAGCAATATTCTCAGATTGAAATTAAATTTACAGTAAACAATGTATATTTCATTAACTGAAATAATGTTAATATATACCAAATTACTAAAATCTGTTTTTTACCTTTATAATATACTGACAGCCACCTTCAAAACCCATGTGGTAAAGAGAAGATGTAACGTAAAACCCTAATGTACATGACTAATAAGGAAAAACAAAGAACAAACCATAATTTAATTGAAAACCCATCAAACGTGAGCTGACACACAGAATTCTGGTAATGTATATGTTTGTTTTTTTTACTGTAAATTATAGGATGACTTGTTCTTTTGCACTTTCAAAAACTGTACATTTAACAGTATTTTACTGTAAATTACTTGAAATATCACATTAGAGCTATTCCAGTTTTTCACTATAGTGTAAGGGAACTTTTTACCATTAAAATTATGATAGTTTTGTTAGTTAACTTAAACGTTACATTTTATTTTATTTTTTTACACTGAACTGACATTCGAACCTGTTTTATATCAGTAACATATTTCTTTGTGAATGGATACAACAAGAAAAATATGTAGGGTAGGATTTCTTTTTATCCATTGGAAGTTGATCTTTGTGGCAGTTCCACACTAGAGTGGAAAACAAGTTTCAATTATTCTTACGATTTTTTCCCCTCAGAAATTCTGTGTTGAGTATTTACATTTTTTTAATACATAAAACATTTATTTAATTTATCTTTTAAATAATGAAAATTAAACGCATTTAATTTTTTGGGGAAAATAAAGGGGATTTAATATTGCAATTAAAATATAGAAGAAATATTGTATGATTATTCCTTAAAAATAAGGTTTTAATCATTTTAGTAGTAGTAGTATTACGTACATTCTACTGAACAACAGTAATATATTTCTGCTGCAATGTCTTCAAGTAAAACCGAACTTTTATTTTGACGGGTTGCCGTGAATACCTTTACATTTCTGTGTGTATGTGATATGAGGATAGTTTTACTCAAATGAAACGGTAAAATGCTCATTAAGTGACTCTCAGAGCAGGTCTGGAGATGTTGTTCATGTATTTATGTCCTCATTTAGTGAGACGGCAGACGTTAATATCACTGGAAGCATCACGCGCTTCAGTACAAGTAGTAAACAAAACCGCACGTCTGCGCCATTCATTAGCACACAGAATTCATATTTGAATAGTCGTTTTGTGGCTTAATATTTACAAATACTAGTGGGAGTGGGAGTGTGATCACTTGTGTGTGCGCGCGCATCGGGGCGGAACTCCGCTGTGCGCCATACAGAGAGCGCGACCATGTAACGTAGAAACAGAAATGACATGCCGTCGTGTAAATAAGATAAATAACATAAGGCTATTTAGTTTGTTTAATAAAAGAACAAGGTATAGACCTGTTCTATAGAAAATGTAACTTTAAATGACTTCTGTTGTGATCTGGCGCTATAGAGAAAATAAACGTAAAAAAAAACAATTTTAATTAACTTGACCTTCAAGGGGGGCGGGGGGTGCCGTTGGGAGGGCGGGCCGCCCCCCTAATATAATGGCAGGGGAAACACTGATAAATTTTTTTTTATACTTTGGAATAATGTGTATAGATGAATTGTGCACCACACCAGGAACATGGTTTAACAAATAGGCTCCGTTTGGATTTCACCTTGACTTCATGCGGCCCTCGTGTAGGTGGTTTAGCAGGGAATTTCGTTACGCTACACAGTAGACAGTGTGTGTTCAGACGATCGTGGCCATGACCCAGTTATGCACATGGCCCCTGTGCATCGACAGCAATTACCCTCGTTAAGGCTCGCCAACATGACCTCAGGAGTCAGAGGAAGACTTGGGAAGAAACGTTTTTCTTTTGTACAGCATTCTGGCCAAGAACTAGCACATTTGTCAGTTTTGGTTCCCTCCCCTTTCTTTTAGGCACCTATTTGTTTTTTTAGTGTTTTTTTTTTTCTCCTTGTTTGCGTGGAGCAAATTCATAGCAACAGAAAGCATATGCTCCGGTGCTAGCCATGTCATGTCAACTAGTGAAGCTTGTGTGATTTTTGGGAAGCTGATTTGTGGAAAGGAAATGCTGAGCACCTTGTTTAACAATATCTAAGGCTACGTCCACACGAAGCCAGAGCTTTCCCTATCCGATCTTTTTTTTCCCCTCGTCTCCCCTCGTGTCCACACGAAACCACGAAACTGACACAAAACGATGTAGTATACATGCCAGACCAGTATGTGGCGCTGTAATTCTGCCACAGAGATACACTAAAAATGGGGAAGAAGACTTGGACTATGCGCATAAACCTTGCGCGCGGTATACAAACGAACATGGAACAATACATTTATTAATCTGTGTTAATGTTAGTTAATAAAAAGACAATCGTTCAGTGTTTGTTCATGTTTTTGTTGCTGTTACGAGACGTAGCGGTGTCTGACGTGGGCTGATGACGTCATCGTTTCAGAAAATATATGGATTCGCTGCCCACACGAAAACGCAAGAGCGGCGTTTTCAGATTTATCCACTCTGGGACCCGGTTTAAAAAAATATCGGTTTCACGCTCCCAAAACGCCGGATCCGTGTGGACGAAACGCCTATACGATACAAAATTTATGAGTATACAGCTAAACGCGTCTCCGTGTGGACGGGGCCTAAAGCTGATGTGACTTCTGCGTTGTTTTTTGTATTTTTTGTATTTTTTTTACTTAAATTATTACAGTGCTTAAAAAGCAGCACTCGATTAAAACTCTTCTTCTCATCCACAAAGTTCTACTATTAGTTTAGTTAGAACTTTTATCAAACTAATATTACATTTTTGTGTAAGAAAGTTAGACATTTTTGTGTAGATAATTTCAGCCTCAGATTTGCATTATTGGAGAAATATAATATGTAAAGTTTGAAAATGTTGATAGTGTTTCAGAATCTAAAATACTGCATTGTGATTTAATCTGTCTTGCATCTTTTTGCATACTGCATTGCAATTGGTCTTCTTTCTTGTGCTTATTTGCATATGAGATTGGTCTTTTTTGCATCTATTTAACCACATAGCTGGCTTTGCACTGAAGTTAACATTACGTTATGTGTTTATTCTCAATGACAAATTACTGATGCAGCATTTACGCAGAACCAAAGCTTAAATCCCAAATTACCTAAAGCTTGAACTATTCTTTTGCTGCCTTGTAAGCACTGCTAGTCTGGTCTAGTTATTTTTTTACCTATATTGTCTTCCCTACATCCTTTTTTATTTGTTCCCTCTCTTTCTATCTTCTTTGTGATTGAAATCGGTTGTTCACCTGCTCCCTGCTCACCGCTCCTCCCCAAAGCCTCCTTCCACCTGAAATTGGTTGTTGCTTTTTTTCTTTTTAACCTGATCTGACAGAAACAACCGAGCACGGCCCGGCAGCTCCTGTGCCTTTATTTCTACAGCCCTCTTTAATAAGAGTGTAATTGATCTTTGGCTCCGTTGTCCTGCTCTTTAATGTGCATGTGTTCAGACCTGAACGAATGCCAGCCTAAAATACTCGGCTGTTCAATACAGAGTAGATTAATTATGAAATCACAAAGAGAAAATGGAAAAAAAAAACAATAGTCCTATTTTTGATAGATTCATCAATGGGATAATGCTTAGTTTAAGTTGTGAATGTGAATTTGCGATCATTCAAAAAGAGTTAGCCTAGTTACTGTTTGGAATCGGTCTGTCAAATTGTTCACTCAACTTGCTTACTGAACTTCACATTATGATTAATTTTAATGATGTCTGTCTCAAAATGAAGCGGATTTAGTGTACTTAAGATTTGTGAATTAAATCACTATCATTGTGATTTACAATGTCATGG